AGGTTAAAAGGATTGCACTTGCAAGTACTGTCTGCTACATTTGGTTACCGCGTAACGAAGACATTTCACCTCACTTGGATTGTATTGTGAGACGGATCAAGACACGTATACAAAGTTATGTTCTCTTTGTATCCGGATGTCTTGATCTATTTCGAGTCCTTGGTATTGGGTCATTGATTTTTTATGCACTTTACTTATTTTGTATCACTTAGGTATGCTCGGAGTAATTGTATATAATATTGGCTTTGTTTTGCTCAGGTATACCCGGTGTATTTGTATATGAAAGTTTTGATCAATAAAATTTACATTTACCAATAAAAAAAAAACACAATTTTGCAATTTATACAGAAAAGAAAATGAATAAAATTTGGAAGCAAATAAAAACAAAAGGAATTATATGGATAAAGGTTTTCCAAGTGGATTTGGCAATACAACTTCCTCAACACTATGTTATTCCTTCATAATTTACCTCTTGCATCTATAACATTTTTGAATGCAACAAAACTCGCATGTTAACATCTATTTCATCTATAACTTATGTTACAATTAACACCGGCAAACGTATTAACAGGAGACTAGATTTGATTTTGTTTTCTCGACTTTTTATGGCAACACTGTTAGTCTCGTTTCCATTCTCTTCTTGTGGGCATTGTCAAGGATCTCGTAATTACTTCTGGCTGAATCCTGGTAGAAATTGTGGAAGAAATGGATCGAAGGAGAGGCATCCCAATCTTGCTCGAAGTCTCATTAGCAACAGAAGAATGACCACTGATATAACAATATGTGGTTGCAACTCGATTTCTGTGCCTGTTTGAGGGACTACTCGAGGACAATCTACCAACTGATTGACATCTTCTTCGACTGATAATATTGTACTCGTGGCTATATGAATAGTTGAATCATCTGTGAAAGTGCCACGTCTTCTCCTTCTCATAGCTGCCTTCCCCGTATTCCTTGTGGAATTAGCGCTGCCTTGTAGTTTGTTCCCAGCTAGGCAAAAAAAGATAAAAAAATGGAAAATGTTAAACATTTCTGGGATTACTACAGCTAGTTTGCTTTGGTAAGTGTTGGGTTTTTGATACCCAATAAATTTCGGGCTATGATATTAACATGGATTAATATTATTTCATAGACATAGACCAATGAATGAAATAAATCCAACAACCAAGTCCATGAGCTACACCCAGCCTAATTGTATTCCCTTATGGATGGATTAAATCTTGGCTCGTTTACCCCTTTAATGGTCCAACTTAAAGCCTAACCCTAGAGTATATATATGACTATAACCTTAGCCACTTTCTTATGATGTATTGTGTGATTTTGAGAGAAGAAAAAGAGATTCCCGGCTGCCCCCCTTTGTGTGAGAAAAAAGGTCTCCAGAAGTGTCCAGAACGCTTGTATAACGTGTGCAATTAGTGGTTCTTTCATAGTATACTTTTGTGGTGTCTTCTCCTAGTCTTTGTGATCATAAATCATAATCTTTTCTTGTCCTACGTGAGTAAGATTGAATAGCAACCGAGGTGAATCAATTGGTTGTGGTTTGGAGCCGATTGGACTGGTTGTTGGTTGAGAAAAGTGTGTTGAATTGAGCCCGAAAATCACCGATTTGAAGACTTTCAAGAGAGCTTCCGCAATAATTGGTATCAGAACTTCAAGGTGGTGGTTTTGGCTCGTAAAACATACCAAAAAAGTCCAAAAATCGCAGTAGAAATCAAATCGAACAAGCTGTCCAAAAATTGTCAAAATCAGTCTCCGTTTTTCGCATTTTCTGATCAATCCAGAAGGAGTTTGGGGAAACAAAGACCACTGACATGACGTGCAGGAGGAGGCGCACCCTGCAGGGAGGCGCGTGACGGTTAACTCCGATGCGTGTGGCCCATGCGCAGAGAGGAGGAGACGCACGTGAGGGCGTGTGAGCGGGAATTTTGAGGTCTCTTCCGGCAGTTTGTTCCTCATATTATTTTTGACATTTTTCATGTTGAAAGTTTTCTGTTTCAGGGTACGCAGTAGAATTTGAACAGCGTTGTTCTTCAAACGTTCGGGACTTGATCGTGATTTTTTGGTTGCTATAATTTCCAAAGGCTTTAGGACGAATAGTGGTGGTCCTAAAGTGATAAATTCGCAACTCTCGTAATTTACGGACTCGGATAGGTCCGCTCTGGTATATTGGCTTAACTCAATTTAAATTTCAGCATTAGCAGATCATCGTGTGGGGTGATCGTTAGGATTGGGGGTTGTCATTGCTTGGCAACAATTGCTTGTGCTAGAAAATTTAGGAATTATTTGCCCTATTTTTGAAGAGTTGAACTTTGATCGCAAGTTGGTAGTTGATTTTGTGCTTATCTGTCATATAGTCACTGTGTGAGACTTGTTGCGTGAAAATTTGAAATTTTTGTTTATATACTTTCGTGTTTGCATTAATTATCCAATTAGAATACCTGGACGGCTGGACTTAATCTGTTCGAACATTCCCTTGATTTAAGATCGTGAATCTTACGAAACCCTGAAAATCTAGAACGGTGTATATTGTGACTTTAGAATTATTTTGTGTGACCTATTTGTGACTTGGTTGTTCTATTTTTTTACGTTCTCCTTAAAAATGTCTTCACACTTTGAAGTTGAAATTTTCAATGGGAAAGGAGATTTTTCAATTTGGCAACGAAAGATGAAAGGTATTTTGGTCCAACAAAAAGTTTCAAATGCCATAGATGACAAATTTCCTACAAATTTAACAGAAGTACAAAAAGAAGAGTATGATGAACTTGCATACACTTCAATTATTTTACACCTGTCTGATACTGTTTTGAGAAAAGTAAGAAAACTGGATTCTACAAAATAACTTTGGGAAAAGTTGGAGGACTTATATTTGCTTAAATCAACTCCTAATAAATTGTACTTGCTTGAACGTTTTTTCAGCTTTAAAATGGATCATTCAAATGATCTTGATGACAATCTGGATGTCTTTAACAAGGTAGTTCAAGATATCGTTAATTGTGATAAAAATGTGTTTGAAACGTATAAGGCTATTATCCTGCTTAATTCTATACCTGATTCATATAGGGAAGTTAAGAATGCAATTAAGTACGGTAGGGACATCTCAACACCCGAGATTGTCATAGACTCGCTTAAGAGTAAGGAGGTGGAGATTAAGGCTGAAAAAGAGGATAAGAGGAGTGGCGAGTTACATATGATGAGAAGTAGAATGAAGTTTAAGCAGATGAATTTGGGTAGAACTCAAGACGGTAGTGATTCGAGTAGTGAATGACTCGAATGATGAGGGTAGTAAGAAGAAGAACAAGGAACGAGATAAGTCTAGTGGTAGAAGGTGTTACAATTGTAGTAAGTCTGGACACTTTATTAGGGACTATCCCAAGAAGAAAGATAAGCTGAAGGGTAAGATAAGAGGTGAAACAAATTTGGTTAAGGGGTCGAGTTATGATCGCATTGAGGTTTATTAAGTATAAATCTAGTCATTACATATGCATCTGTGTGTAATCCTTTTCTGCATGTGTGTGATTGTCTAAATTTTGTTGCATGATTATCTGCTACATCTCAATGTGCTTGATATGTGCATTTGCATGAATTTGAGACATTAGGATTACTTTGTGTAATTGCTTGTATGCATAATGGGTTAGGATACATTAACAGCGTGTTGTGTGTCTTTTAGTAAGGTGGAGTATAGATGTCTAGGGGTACATGGTGGTTTGTATCGGGGATGTGGAGTATGACATTTGGATTACGAGTGAAGATGTGATCAAATGTCTAGAATCCTTTATCTGGAAAGAGACCCTCATCAGGTGAAGTGTGAGAGAGGTACTTCTATCACTTCTGTTAGGTGGAGACCTATTATCCACGTAGGTCGGGAGAAGTATTGTGGAGATAGAGGATTATCTCGTGGACTTAGGATCTATTGTGACTTGCCAGTTAGATATGAGTTGAGTGATCTGTCTAGTGAGTTTGGTGGGCCATAAGAGGAGATATGTGTTCTCGAAATGTGAGCAACATGGAATGGGATATGATAAGTGTGGTGAGATCTTTTCTTAGGGTTATTTATGCATGTGTTGCATATGTGGTTGACCGTTGTTTGATTGACTTGGTGTTAATCTGTGGTTCTATGTGAACGTGTTTTTGAAAAGATCCGCGTGTGTTATCCTATAATATATCATCATCGCATGTGTATTTGCTCTTGATCGTTTACTGTTAAATATTTGCTTCTATTTTGGTATTTTTGACCTTAGCCCTAGTGAGTACATGGAGCAGGTATGGTATGTGTTTCAAGTTGGAAACACGAGGTAAGGTTTGTGATCCAATTTTATTGGCTACCTTCATTATACAAGTGCTAACCGTGTTTTGATTGCTTGTAGATTTATTGGGCATCAAAGTGGAGATTTGTTGGGTTTTTGATACCCAATAAATTTCTAGTTATGATGTTAACGTGAGTTAAAATTATTTTATAGGCATATGTCAATGAATGAAATAAGTCCAACAACCAAGTCCATGAGCTACACCTGACCCAATTGTATTCCCTTATGGATGACTTAAATCTTGGCTTGTTTACCCCTTTAATGGTCCGACTTAAAGTCTAACCCTATAGTATATATATGACTATAACGCTAGCCACTTTCTTATGATGTATTGTGTGCTTTTGAGAGAAGAAAAAGAGAATCCCGACTGCCCCCCTTTGTGTGAGAAAAAAGGTCTCTAAAAGTGTCCAGAACGCTTGTATAACGTGTGCAATTGGTGGTTCCTTCATAGTATACCTTTGTGGTGTCTTCTCCTAACCTTTGTGGCCACAAATCATCATATTTTCTTGTCCTACGTGGGTATGATTAAATAGCAACCTAGGTGAATCAATTGGTTGTGGTTTAGAGTCGATTGGACTGGTTGTTGGTTGAGAAAGGTGCGTTGGATTGAGCTCGAAAATCATCGGTTTGAAGATCTTTCAAGAGAGATTCCGCAACAGTAAACATTACAATACAGTATTGCAAAGAACCATAAACAAGATTTCAGCCTTTTTCTTTCTTGTGAGTGGTTCAATCTTACATTCCAAAACAGCACTTAAATGTTATCAGAAGGAAACGTATGGACAATGCATTTTAATTGATCAGTGCATCTTTTAACTTCAAGGCAACAGTGGATTCTGATTTTATGTTCTCGGTTCGTCCGTGTACCTGAGTATCCAGTGCATATAGTGGCAAGGTGCTATAGCTGCATAAAAACTGTCCCACAAACCTATGCAAAATAAACTGCAGTCTCAAGCTACGATTATTAAACTCAACATAATTTATTTATGCAGAATATAGCGAAGAATATTGCGTGATATTTTAAAATTTATGCATACCCCAGAACTAGTCGCAGATATAACAGCAAGTGGTTCTTTATGAAGCACGAATTATACCCGGACTGCAACTGCATTAAAAGCACACCTTTGTCAAAGCTGCTTATATGATGTTATCACTTTCATGAACTGCCTATCTACCCAAGGAAAAAGAAAAAAACGAGAAGAAACACAAAAGCAAAATCCACTTTTTTTAGCCTTTAACGTTGAGAAATGCGTCTCCATTGATCTTTCATACAGCACATTAGTATTTGGGAAAATTCATAGGTAGGGGAATGCCAGAGATTAAAATTCAAAATGACAACAATGTAAAACTTGTTAATGTCATCGGGCCCCCTTGATTATTTATGACAGAATTCTGAAACAATCATAAGAACTACAGGAGGAAAGGAGTACCCAGAACCAAAAGAAAGAAGCAAGCTCAAATGCATTCTGTAAAGTGAACGCAGAAAAAAATAGTCATTAACAATACACCGTGTTTGGACCAGAAGAAGAAGCATCATAGGAAAAAAAGGACAAGAAATCAGGACTAGAATTACAATGAAACCTGTCAACCTGGAAAAGGATAAAATGTATTAAAAATAACAATAATAATAATAATTCTGGCTTATTAAACCAAAACAGTTCATCTTGGGTTTAATCCTTGGTCCAGCAAAACCCCCGCTTACTCCTGCACTCTGGTGCGACATGTATGTGTATGTGTCAGTGTCCATGTCCATGTCCGACATGTATCATGTCATGCGGTTGCTGACACACTTAAACGCTCCAAGACATACATATTTTCCTTCCTTGGTAGTGTAATATATAATTTAATTTAAAGTTATGTTAATAAAACAAATAGCTACTCATCTGATTTAAAAGATTTAATGAACAAAAATCATATTTGCATTGAGCATAGTCGAACAAAGGCCACTCTTCATAATAAAACCTTGAATGCGCACTTTTTTCATTATTAAATTATATATACGATACTATAATTTTAGGTTATGATATGTTGATTAAAACAAATTTTTTGTAAAACATTACTCTTGGTAGCATATCTAATGGCATCAGGCCCGAGACAGGAAATGTTAACCTCCTTTGCAGATGATTAATGAGCACATTTGTATCAACAAATTACCAGGTTAGAGAAATAAACTACAGAGAAGTGAGATGGGACCCAAGCCACATCAAAGGTATAACATTGACAGAGGAAAAGAAAATTAGAGTACAAAATATAAAAAAGGATTTTCAAGCAATCATTAACTTCGCTTAGCAGAAATTCAGGTGTTTACCACGTATTGTGACTTTACTTTCAATATTAGATGCCGACGTCCAGATTAAACACCTATCAGATTTGGTAGGAATCCCTTTCCTAATCAGAGAGGTTTCTTATAAGTTATACCAGTAACTATTGATGCTATCCCAGAGCAAGTTGGTGAAGTGAAATTGAATTTATCAACAAGTTTTACTATAATGGAGAGATCTCAATGGAAATTGTCCTAGACGGAAAATCATAACAAGGATACTCTTAGCCGGTTTCCTTTTCCATTTAAAAATTGTTCCTCTTGAATTGTTAAGCAAGTACCACTCATTAACAATCATAAAAAAAATCCCCTAAGCAGTAGGAATTTAATTTAATTTAATTTAATTTTTTTTGAAAGGTAATCTAATATTTTATTAATCAAAGATGATACAAGGGAAGTATATTATCAATTTAAACAAGAAATGAACAACATAAAATTAGGTAGCCCGTCTATATGATTTATAGCCGCAGCATTTATGTCACTCTATCTCGAAAGTCACTCTACCCTCATCGAATATACTGCCACAAGCATACTTAGGGGTGACAAATGAGCCGAGCGGCTCGTCGGCTCGCGAAAACGGAGCTCGTGGGCGGCTAGGCAGAGCTGAGCGGGCCGGTTCGGTGGCAAAATAGCTGCTCGTTTCTCGTGGGCTCTTGTAAAAAGTGACCGTAGTCAGTGACCGTTTTGGTCCTTGAATTTTTTAATTTTTTTTTAACCGTTAACTTTAACTTTAAGTTTTTTTTCCCCTTCCCTCCTCTTCTTCTATAAATAGTGTCATTAAACCACAAAATTTTATACAATTCACTCTCAACTCTCAATTATCTTTCTCTCAACTCTCTTGTGTTGTGTTGATAGTTGTGCAATTTTTATATACAATATCCAATTCTCATTTCTCAGTTATCACTATATCTATTGAAATTTCATTCAATTTTCATTTCTCACAATATTTATACAATTATTCTTTTACTAGTTATTACTTATTACAATTAAACAAATGGATTCACACACATTTGTCGAAAACTTGTTCGGTGTGGGAGGAAACGAATTGCCTATGATACCGCAAAGTCAATTTCGAAATCAATTTGAAGGTCTAAATGACGTACCACTACCTGAAGATATTTGGATCTTCATCATCATGTAAGCGGCAATCCAAATTATCCAATTAATTTGGATGATGTTGACGTTCCCGAAGCGGAACACGATCAAGAATAAGAGGTTGAATTAAACATTCCTGATGCGAGGGGAAAGCTAAAGGGGAAAAAACAAGCAAAATGTTGGAATCACTTTAAGTTGATTTCAACGGGAAAAATCGTCAATGGAGACCCAGAATCCAAAGCAGTATGTAAATACTGCCAACAAAGATTGGCATGGCAAAGAGGAATTGGTATCACCCATCTCAACCGTCATTACAAGATATGTGCAGCCAAACACGGACTTATTTTAGGCTGTCAAACACAATTGCAATTTGACAGTCCAAAGGCAGGTGGTTCTGCTGCACCCCTATCCACATTGGTGTATTCGGAGGAGAGAGCTTGAACCGTAGTGGTGAAACTTGTTGCTGGTGCTGAGTTGCCTTTGGCATTAATTGATAATCAACACTACGTCTCGTATGTGAAAGAATATCTGCAGCTAAGGTAAACACTCTTTGTTCTGATAAAATACAATATTTTACTAAAACAAAACAACAATTAATTATTGATTTGCAAAAATATGAGGGTGTCATATCTTTAACTTCAGATATATGGGAAGGGATTAATAAAAGAGCATATATATGTGCAACTGCACATTATATAGACCCACTTTGGTGCATGCATAAAAAAATTATTGTTTTTAGAATTATTAAGTTTCCTCACAATACTAATAATATATACTATTATTAGTATTATTAGAGAATATCATTGCGAAAGTAAAATTATTTCATTTACTTTCGATAATGTTAGTGTTAATAAAGTAGTTGCCGATAAATTGCATAGGGTACTGCAACCTGATTTTGTGGGTATTTGTTTTATATTCGTTGTGTATGTCATATTTTGAATTTAATTGTCCAGGATGGTTTAAAACATATAAAGGATGAACTTCAAAATATAAGAAACGCACTAATATATATCACAATCTCCCCAAGTAGAAAACAAGCATTTGAGGATTATTGTGCCGAAATAGGAGTGCAAAATGCTAAAACATTTGTTAGCGACGTAGGTCATAGGTGGAACTCTACTTACTTGTTATTAAAGTCATGTGAAGTTTTGAATATTTAATAACCGACTTTTATAACAATAGACATGTTAGAAGTGATGACGAGGGTATGTTAACTGAACATGATTGGCAAATAGCTTTGAAAGTTAAAAGATTTTTGACATTTTTTTATGAAACCACTAAGATTTTATCGGGCGTTTACTATCCCACCAACTGTATGGTGCTTGAACGTATTTATATAAGTGCAAGATCATTTCATAAATACAAAATGACCCTGATTTTAGTAAAATTATAATTGCTACGGAATTAAAATTTAGAAAATATTGAGAAGACTTGCCTATGTTATTTCCTTTAGCATGCGTGAACTAAATATATAATTGATCAAATTTCAAACGCCTTAACATTTGATACACCTATCACATATAGAATTTTAGAGCAAACATTATGTGAAATGTATGAATTATATGCGAACCGAACGGGTACCAATATTAGTCGGGTACCATTTGCACCTACTCCTTCCGTTGAAATTGAAGAAGAAGATGTGAAAATATCTAATTTATTTCAAGGAATTAATTCGTATAGATATGATTCATCTGCAATGTGTTCATCTACTGCCACTGCCATGTTGTCACCATATGTATCTCATTCTCATTAAACATCTACGGACTCAAGCCATAATCCATTGCCTACTGAATTAATTGATTATTTCAATCAGAATATGTCAACAGATAAAACAATTAAAAAAAAGTTCAGACGAAGTAATTGAATTTGGCGAAGGTATGAACGACATTAGCCAATTATATCTGCGATTGCAAAATATCTGATGACACCTCCGATTTGCGCTTTTGCTTCGGAGTCTGCTTTTAGTGCAGGTAAATTAGTTTTGAGCGAGGTCAAGAGTCGACTGAAAGAAGATATTTTAGAAGCGTTAATTGCGTTAAGGATTGGCAGGACACTCATTTTCGACTAAAGATAAATATGCCGAATTTGAATGTCGTCAAAGTGTGTGTTATTTGATTTAATTATATTGATGAAACTTTTCTTTTTTTATCGTTACTTTTAATTTTCTTTAAAAAATATATACGCTACAATAAATTGTTCGTGTATAATTTTTAATTTCGCCTACTGAAAATTTAAGTAATCGGGCCCAAGCCCGGATAAAGGAGGAGTGTTTATATTTTATCTATTTTAAAAAAAAAAAAAAATAATAATAAAGATTTCATTTTTATTTTTTTCTATCTCTTTTAGTTAAAAAAAAAAGAAAAAAAAAATTTCTTTCCGTCAATTTAGTTAAATTTTTGTTAGTACTTGGTACTATTACTACTATATGTCTACATTTTAAATTCTTTTCTCGAACAACGCTGTGCGTACCTTTGCATATAATTTTTGAGCTAAATTCCTTCTGAAAATTGAAAGGGTAATCGAATAATTGCCCTTTCAGAAGTCTTTCACTTCGAAGATTATATATAATCTTCGAATTGAAAGATTTCTATATAATTTTCGAAGTGAAGACTTCTGATAATTGAAAGAGCATTCGATTACCCTTTCAATTTTTAGAAGGATTTACTTCGAAAATTATATGTAAGGGGAAGCGCAGCGTTGCTTGAAAAAATAATTTTTAATACTGTTTTAAATTTTCTTTAAAAAATTGTACACGAACAAACAAACAAACAACACAATTTTTTAACTCCGCCTACTCTAAATTTAAGTAGCCGATCTCAAGCCCGAATAAAATTTTTTTACCTAGTTTTTTATATATAAAAAATGTTTATATAAAAAATTCATGATTTAAAAATTAAAATTTTTTTTATTTTCCAATTTACCTATTTGTTTCCAAAAATAAAAAAATAAAAAATGAAAAACTACGTGTGCTCGCGAGTCGGGCTCGACTCGGCCCGGCCCACGAGCTCGTGGGTCGAGCCGAGCTTGCCCATTTTTGGACAAGTCGAGCTCGGTTCGACTCGTTTCAAAACAAGCTTCATAGTCGGCTCGGTCCATTGACACCCTTAAGCATACTCCATAAGAACCACAATCATCAACTGAACCCCATCCCCATCCCCTTTCCATAACACCATATTTCACCCCTATAATTTTTCTCCAAAAGCTCTCATTCTCCTCTTTGTACTGCCACAACAACTTACCTAACAATGCCTTATCAAATAATACAAGGCTGCAATCCAAGACCTCCTAACCTTTTAGGAGAACAAA